TCACCGAAGATCCTCCACCCTAGACTCGGTACTCCAAAGGAAGAGGCCCAGACCGGAATCTTCATCCCCGACAAATTTCAGCCATTGTCGCGTCCGGGATATCGAGCCAGGTAACGTACTGTTTCTTGGTCGCCAGGTAGTCGGTGTCGGCGCACTCGGGCCGCATTAACCGAGAGATAATCCGTGAGCGGTGACGGTGGTGGGATTCTAGCCACCCCTCTCCGCGCGTGAAGCGACACGGCCAACCCCTCGGTAAGAGGCAACGATACCGCGGCTGAAAAGCCGCTACGAATAACGTGCTTACGCGTGATCATCCGACCGCGATCCTCAATGCCCATGACAGATCAAGCTGCGCGGCTCTGAATCGAACTTAAGCCATCGCTAAAGAGCGAGAAGAGCCCGCGCGCTAAGTCCCTGCGGATGGACGGGCCCGGCCGACGGCAGCCTCTCTTTTTCCACGGGGCCGACAATACGGTGTAGATTACTTTTCAGAATGGGCGGCGTGACGTAAACGCGGCCGTTTCCACCGTCGAACAATCGGCGTGTTTACCGACACAATTTCCACGGATTAAAATCGTGAGAGCAAGGAGGCCTGCGGAGGGTTAAGATCATCCCAGTCGCGTCCGTTTCCGCGTGGACGCGGCCGTGCCCCGTCCGGCGGAAGCGAAACCGCTCGAGCCACGCGGGAGACGCCATTGTTACGCCGATCGCGCCACTCGTCGATACTCTTTAGTGTTCCGAACTGATCGAGATCCGTTGATCGATTTTTGTAGTTAACTGTGAACTATGCGTTTGAATATCGTCAAGTGCTTTATGTGAGGTAGACCAAGACGAATCGGAACACGAGGCGAATCGGACAGAAATAAGAATATTGTCCATTTTTGTTACGTTGTAGAAATGAGCACACTGACCGTCTATATTACTTCATACACGTTCTATATACTTAATTCAATATATCTTCAATTGTTTCAAACTGTTGTTTGCCACCAGCGCATGTTAGAATTTAAGTGAACGTAACGAATTCATGTCTAGTTCAAAATACCTATTCTTATTATGCTTGTAAATTAGGGAAACGATACAGCAGAGTAAATTTTGCTCCGGACTACATGACTAATCATCTACAAAAAGTCCCCCATCAAATTTGCAGCGAGAAAGGAACATATAACGACACTGGAATCGAAACTTAATCCCCTATCCCGGAATCATTTCAGAAGGTTCGATCTTTTCTATCAGAACGCGAGCGTTCACAGCGGAGGTGGTCTCCGAGGGAGCAACGGCAGGTTGCTCGAAATTCCGAAAAGTCGGTGAAGGGTCCGGGTTTGGCCGCGATCGAGTCAAAAGGCGTATTCGATCCGTCGTCGACGGGGTAACGCCGGACAGCGAAGAGCATTCGATATCGGGCCCTGATGAAGGTTTCTCGAATGTCGGTGTCAGGCCTGGAACAGAAAGCGAGGGAGACAGAATAAAATAGAAAGGGAGATCGGGCGGGGAGGCCGCATTCCTAGACGGCTTACCGGTCGGTTATCGTGGCGGCCATCGCTCGTCTACTCGTATCCAAAGGTGGCGGATTTGTTTCTTCTCCTTATCCGACCCTTAAGCACAGGCTTTCGCGCGAGGGTGGCGGCCCGGTGGCACAAAGGCACCCTAGGGACGCAACAACGGTATCATCTTCGAAGGAACGGAAAGCTACCGAATTTTCGAATCGTTCGAACGCGTCGTCATGGATTTTTTCCGGACGCGTGCGTCCGTCTGACAGATATGAAACTGTCTCACGCGCCATTGTTTGAAGCTTCGCCCCTGTTCGATGCTTTTACCGCTGCTGGAATCATCTTTGATCCGCACTCACGGACGCCGATCGGGGGATACCTTATGTTCACGTCGTCAGAAATATTTAATAGTTCATGATACATCGGCAACGACGTCACGTCGGGACCTTTTGATCGAACCCTGCGACGGTGTCGTAACTCTTACGTTGTCATCACTTCGGTGATTTTATTATGTTCGTTCTCTCGGAAAATCTTGAAGTAGCCGTTTCTTATCATTTGTCCGAAGCTTTAGGCGTAACTCAGACGTATCGCGAAATGTATAATTGTGGTATGATACTATGAATATTATATTTTTCTTCAAAGAAATGTATTTGATATTAATCTATTAAATGTATGAAAAGACTATTTTGTAGACATTATTTAACGAAGCATTACTTTTAATAGAATATGTATTTAGTGACTGAACACGTAATTTGTTTTGAAATCTGTGCAATATTTTTATTCCAGAAATAAAAGAGACACTTATATTTTACCTTTGGTACTGATCTGAATTGTTTACTTCTTAGAATATCTTACATTATAATAGATTAGAGAGTTTATCAGATGCGAAGACACTTCACAATAATCGACCACTTCGTTTTCTCAGTTATTAAACCACCCCTTTGTGCGCACAAATTGATTAACCATCGATCGATCCTCCGCGCAGGCACTCAAGTTAGGCAAACGTACAAGAGAAGAAAAGTCAATTCGCAGTTATTTATGAAGTAGCGATTACAACGAATAATAGCAAAGAATCACTGCCAGTGCTCCCCTAACGTCGATATCTCCCCCACTGCCATTATAGGGAACCATCCATGCATGAAGTATTATCATACAAATATAATCTCTGTACTCCCTCCTGTGAAATAATATTTGCCCTGATCGTCGTACGACCAATTATCTTAACTTGTGCGATCTGTCAACTTCTCTACACACGTGTCCACATTTGCACTCGCGTACGGCTCACGTATGCGCCACTTGCTTCTCTTCTTTCCGCATTACCGATGGAACAAGAATTACGATTATTAACCGTCCGATACTGTACTCAGAATCGTTAATAGAAACATAATTGAAGAGTTAAATTAGGATATCAAAAAACGTTGACTTTATTCTGCTCTTGATAAAAAAATAATTTCATAAATGTACAATATACACCTCAATAACAATTATATTACAATTGCAAGAATCATCGGATATACGAAACATCCAAAGTTCCCAAAAAATCTGGTCGAGTATCATAAACGAGTTAACTATTACTATAAAACAATATTTTCAATTTCAATCTACATTATCGTTTGGTGTCATCGCAATAAATCGTATCGCAACGAAAAAAGTAAACTATTTTTCGATACATCTCGCGAAAGATCTCGTAGCTTCGGTTCAGTTTAAATTCTGGTTTAAACGAATCGATCCTCGCGTAATTATTAAAAACTTATCACCATGAGAAATGGTTGTCCGATTGAGAGAACCCCAGTGAAACCTCGATGATACGGAAGGTGCCATAAAACGCAACACGAAAAGAGAGAAGAATCGTTCAGGCACGGGTATATAAGCAACGATAACATAGTGGACCCATTCCGCGGGTTTCTGCCCTTCGGGAAACAGTTGGCCCCTGATTGGTCATCTGTGTGTGATTGACCACGTTATACAGTACGGTGATCCAAGCAGTGATTCGCGTCCTCCGTTTCTCTGTCCACGGTTTCGCGGGCAAACGGCCCGTGAAAATCTTCTAAATCAATTTCTGCGGCGGCATTTATCGAGTCGCGTCCCTCAATCTCGCCGGATTTAGGATGAAAACGAATGTCCTTCGACGGTAGGATCGATAGGCTTCCTACGCGGATATCGAGCTCCTGCATTTGTCTCGATAGGGGGAAACGTCGACCTAAACTCGATTCGACCTAAACCCCTCGGCTTAACATCGTTCCTGTAATTTTCTTGATTGCCCCGCGTTATCGCGGCCCCGCTGCCACCCGCGAATATTTTACAAATGAAAACTCGATAGCCCCAGTGTTTCATTGGCGGAACGCGGAGGGTTCCTTCGTCGTCTTGGTAATCGTGGAACGGTGATCTTCCGGTGGCCACGTGCACTGGGCACACTTAAGTAACGACTGGCATGTATAAAGAGAAAAACGAAACAACGATAACTTCATTAACACGTTGACGTAAATGACGTCTGTAGACGTCCATTGCGTGTGCTTGTAGATGCAAACGACGTCTGTAGCAGTTCTATATTTTTAGTATTATAAGAAATTTTAAAAATGTATATCACTGTTGAATTTATTACCCTCTAAATCCTTTAGTCTACTTTTAATAATTCTTGAAGTAAAATAGTTACTCCGGAAAACTCATCCAACAAAAATAATTCGTAGCCATTATAAAGTGTTGCGTTCATGTAGAAATTTTTGTTCTTGTATCTTTCAATTTTGCGTTACATTAAAAATGAATGTAAATGAAAATCATGTGTGAAATAAAGTTTATGTTTATAAAAATATACCTCTTTTATTTTTTCCTAAATTACTTTCAAAAAATATCGTTAGATGCTAAAACGTCTATAGCCGTCTTTTGAGTATCAGAGAAATCGAAGCTGTGAAAAACAAATGACGGCTATAGACGTCTACCCTTTTTTAGGAAAATTTATTAAAAGATACAATAATTTTCATCTGTAAGTATGAAATCTTGATCGAACTCCTCAAAAACCAACTAATTGACAAAAAAAGAAGTGTGTTTTTGGAAGCACTCACCGATTTCAGAACGAGCGTCAACGTGTTAGTCGTATTTCGATGTGTGCAGTAACTAGATCCTAGAAGCTTGCAACAAATCGAATATCGATAAATAGATGAAATTAAGTAACTCATCGATTGAAAGTTTCATTACAATAGCCACGCTCTGGTCCACTAAACAATCCCCAAACCTTCTCAACACAGTCAAAATCTTTAAAAACAAAATGTTCAAACATTCACCAAACTGAATGTCCGAAACGGTCTCATTGTTCCCTAGACACGCGGTGCGAATCAGGCACAGATAGCCGGCAGCTTCCCTTGTCCCGTTCCAGCTTCTGCCAAGGATACGTCCCAGCGAGATTTAATTAAGAATTCTTCAAACTGGACGTCGAGCGGCCTTTCGCGCTGCCGCCCGGGCTGATATATCTGAAATCAAAGTCGTTACCAACCAAATAAAGGAGATCCGATGATGACGATGATGCAGAAGAAGAACCAGAAGAAGAAGAAGAAGAAGAAGAAGAAGAAGAAGAAGAAATGGAGGCATGAGAAGAAACGGACAGTGGAAAGGGGTAAAGAGGACGGGAGCGGGAGGGAATCAGAAACGAAGGTTCACATTTCGGACCGGTAGCACGGAACAAGCAGATCGGCTCACTCGGCACCGGGCAAAGCATTCCTTACGTCAGGACTTCACCGAACGCTGATCCTCCCGTAAGGAGAGAGAATCAAGAAAGGTCAGCGGGATACTTCGGCGAGGGGCTACTGGTTTCTCCACCGCGTAGACCTCCTATCCACGTCGTCCGTTCCTTCGTCAAACTCGGAGCGTGCCCCAGCCCGGGCACGGCGTCTCACAGCGTGAGCCTCGCGTTTTCTGCCTCCATCCACGAACGTCCGTACGAATTTCAGCGGCGTTTCGTCGGCCTCTGGACGAATCGTTCCGTATGTAAATTGAACGACGGCCACAGTGTAGAGGGGACACGAGAGGGGAGGGGGGGCCAGAAGAGACAGAAGGCGAACCCATATTACCGTAGAGGCGTAAGACGATGGCCGAGGCCGCTTTGAAATTTAAATCATCGTGGACGGAGGATCGTGCGAACGGGAACGATCCCGCTGGTCCGTTTCCTCTGTCGTCTTGCCTCATTAGGTCATGGATTTTTCATTTCAGAGGATCCACGGCTTTGATACCGATTTGTCATGCGCGCTGGGTGTTGCTCTGGGATAGCGGATTTCGGTGATCGAGGATTCTTCCTGTGGATTGATTTTATTGTTGAAGTTAATTTGCATGGATGTATCGATGTATCTTTAGATACTATATCATTACTAGTTAACACGTTCGCTGCTAGCGTCACATATTCGTGGCGGCCGTAATCATATATTTTACGCGATGGAAATGAAATGAAACCTATGGATACTGTTATTAGAAATTATAAACTGCGACATTATATATAGGAACTCAATGACTCGTTTCAGTTTCATTCTTCTAATATTTTGTTTAGATTTATTGGATCGAATGAATTTTTACAATTGAGGAGGTCCTCGCCAAAATAAACGCTGGCAGCGAACAGTTAATTGAAATTAACGTGGTAAAATCATACGGTTTACTTGAAGAAACGGTTACTACGAGTTACGTTAAAAAATGACGAACGAAGTCTAGTAAGTTTTTAACACCAGCGAAGGTCGACTATAATTAAGCGATACGCTCCTACAGATAAACTTCGTCTTCGATCTTTCTTCCCAAAGAACAAAATAACACAAGCAGTCCACCCAATCGGCTACCTCATTAACCTCGCTAAATAATCTATCTCCGCGCAACAAATATAAAAACGCGAAACCAGTTATCTATCTAATCATCGAGCAACCACATTACCAAGACCGAAGGTCCACGAATCTCGCCGTTTCCGTCGTGGAACCGTTCGGATGGCCATTCTGAAGCGGAGTGAACCCGGTATAAAAAGGCGGAGGCACGTAGAACTCGAAAAGGAGCAGCTTCTCTCGTGATCGTACAGCCGCGTCCGCAGGATATGACAACAAGATCGGTCAGACCGGTGACAGGGGTGCGTTCTGTTGCGCCGGTGTGCGTGTAACGTGCGCGACCGGCTAACGGCCGGCCCGGGGGGAGTGGAAGTAGCGCTCGAAGACGGTGCAAAAGACGCGGGGACGGTCGAACCGTCGCGTGAAAGACAGAGAGAACGGACGGATGGACAGACGGACCACCCCGTATGCCAGCGATCATGTCCCGATCACGTAAACTAGCCGCCCCCTCATCCATCATGCCTTCGTCGTACATTGTCATGTGTGACCAGACCGATCCCCTTTTTCTTCCTGTTTCTTTGTCCGGCATGCCGTCCTCCTTGTTCTTCGTGTACCCCCCTCTCCGTCCCCGCTCCCCTAGCTCTTATTACTCCGCGTCTTTTCCAAGCGAGACGGGGTTCACCGCAAATTGGCAGTGAAAAATAAACAAGAGATCTGGACGACGTAAACGTACCAATCAGGGGTGGTCGAGCTCTCAAGTCACATAATTAGAGTCAGTATCGTCTGTTATTTTTCGTACTGCGGTTTTTCTTGTTCCCCTTCGTCTTCTTCGTCTCTTTGCCTTCGCGAGCCTTAGGACTTACCACGCGTGATCGAGGACTTCGAAGTTTTCCGTTGAGAACGTTAAGGGTGGCAGGGTGGAATTTTGTTATTAGCGGTGTCCGGTGGATGGATTTTTAAATTGGTTTGCACATGGAATCGGGAAGTTCTGTGTAATTCGACGGGTCTTCGTTTGAATGAGAACGGAAGCTTTCTGGTTTCGCTTTTACTGCGAAGTCACTTTGTTGTATTTATTCTCTTTGTTTCGTTTCTTTAATTAACGTACCGAAGTGTTCCGAAAGAAAATTTTGTTTCTTTATTTTAACTGTTTTCTTCGTTGGAGTTTGCATTGTTTGAGTTCGAACAACCAGAAGGTGCAGCTTCGCTGCGGTGAGGCAAGATGGTCAGGGGGGTACGGCCTCTAACGATTTAATGACACATTTCGTCCGAGAAGAATAATTCGCAGCAGTAATTTGTGATTGTGCCATACCAGAGGCGATCCGGCCGGCTCATCCCCTGGAATGGACAGTACATTCCTAATTGCTGATTGATCGTGTCTGAATAACGCAATTAATCGGACGAGAATATTCCACTGTTAATTACACAGGAGGACCGAAAGGAAATTGGAAAGGAATTGTAGAATCGTGGACATGATACATGGATGAGTGTTCCATGTAAACATAGATTTTAGTTGGACAATTTAGAAAAGCGTGTCATTCTTTATAAAACGAAAAATGTAGACAAAACTGCGACTATAATACTATATACTATAATGGTATTTATCTGTTTCATATATTTATATGTCCTTCATTAACTTCATTTTCCACCTCTTTATTCGTGGAAACTAATTTTAAAAAACTGAACTCCAGTAAAAATCCTTTTTCACTAAATTGAAAACAATTCGACATCATCGCTCAAGACAAACATTTGAGGATAATTAACCGTTCGCGGTCGAAACCATAATGAAGACTTCCAGCTTTGATATCTAAATACGAAAGCTGCAAATGAATAATTTAATCATTCAAATAACGAGAGACCTCCTTTTTCTAGTATTTAACACTAAAACTAAACAGTCACATTAACTTTTCGAAATTCCTCTATAGAAACTCCAAGAGCGCATCTACTCAGACTTTAAGTAATTTATAATTCAGCTTGGGTATTGCTAAATCAATCCTTTTAATCGTTTCTCAGATAAACATCTGTTATCTTTTTAATCATTGCAAACAGAATAAATTCAGGAATAGATCACTTTGACCCGTCTGATGGTTTTAGTGTTAAGACTTCGATAACTCAGCTCCCGTACGAAAAAGGTTTTCAAAAGTTTAAAAAATTCCCATCCACAAAGGGTTAAATGTCGAAACAACTTCTAAAATCATTCGCAATGAACTATCGAGTTCCAGGTCTAGCCTGCGATATCTGGTTCAAAAATAACGTGTCCGTAGCGAGAGGCTTTAAATCAGTCACACGACGAAGGACAGGCGGAATAGAGAAATATCGAGGTTCGAGTACCGATTCAGCGGTCGAAGGCACAAAGGGTGAGAAACGAAGGGCAGAGAACGAATAAAGGAGTTTCTGGCTGCGGCACGTGCGAGGTCCGCCAACCGTAAAAGAGGCGGCTTATATTATTATAACGTGGGCAGGTGGGCGAGGCACTCTATTGGCAGCGCTAACGAGGGATCGGTAATTATTACCCACGACTTAACTCCTAGATGCTCGTGCAAAGACCTTTATTGTAATCGCTCACCCTTCGTCCTTTCTTCTACCGGGGGAATCTAGTTTGCGGGAATCCTATAACGCGCCCACGGCTACCGAATTAATGCGTATTATGATGGAATGCTGACGTATCCTTGCATTCATCCGAGCCGCTCCCGAAATTCTGCGTTGAAACGGAAATGGGCGTTAACACAGAAACCTCTCGGCGACCGCTCTGATTAATTCCGTTAAATTGACAGTAAGAATTACCGAGGATGGAGTAGACGGTATCTTTCGGTATTAATGCACGTAAAGTAATTAGCAATTCGTATGCCTGGAATATTAATATTTGAGAGATCAGTGGAAAAGTCTTTATTCGTATTTTAACATTGAATGAATGAACAGCTTGTGCTTGTTGTATGAAAAGAATCGTATTCGTAGATTGAACACGATTGATTTTTAATGTTACTTTTTGAATTTTACCATTTGAGTGATATTAATGTTTTGATCGGTACTTCTTCGACAATTTATTAACGATTTGTATAACTCCGGTGAACGTAAATACACGTCGGTTAATTACGAGCTTCTCCGTTAATTTTCGCTAAACCTATGGAATTCGGTTTATTAATTAATATATGTATATAATTTGTTAACCCCTTGCCCTATAATACCCAATTAAATTTGTAAATTTCAAATTGAATGGAATGGATATGAATATTATTTATATTTTTAACAATTAGAGTTTAGTATAATCTACTGCAACACAAAATCCATAACAACTCGGAAACAAATTCAAATACGGCATACAACGATCTGTTATTCCTTCGATACATCCAGTGAATCCTTAAACTTTTCCCCATCCGTCAATTCTATTTGACAAGTACTTACTCATAATTGATTGATTTTATTAAGCGCCTGCCGAGGAATTTTTCAAACTAAATTCCACGGTTAATCGGTTAATGAGATCTCCCGTTTGCCGATGCGAATGAAAGATACTAGCTTTATTACATATAAATTACAAAAATAATTCTCGCAGTTTTAATACACATATGTTAGAATACTTGTATATCATTAAAATAGCCCTGACGTCAATTTGAAGGATACAGAATTTTCTAACCATCATTTAGCAACAATTTAAGTCGATTTTGATTTGTGTAATTATGCGAACGCAAACGAACACATAGTTTCCTAGAACCAATAAAATAAAGTGTAGCATGAACGCCCGTAAAGCTAGTGTTAACAATAAAATTACTAAATGGGTCAAAATGACCCATTCCTGATTCCATCTTTTTCCAATTATTAAAAAGCTAAGAGATGTTCCTCTGAGGAAGTATTGAATAAATTAATTTAGCAACACGCAAACTGAATTGAGAATCAATTAAAAAGTTTCGATAGATCTTGGAGTTTCCGTAGATAAATTCCAAAACGTCAATTTAACTGATCGGGAGTTTTAATATTAAGGCACTGTCCACCAGCAAGAAAGGAACGGAGCGATCGAATAGAGCCTGGTAACCAGGAAGCACAAATATTTACGTATATTAGGCTCGTTATTGGTCGGGGCGTTGTTACCCTCAAGGCCGCGCACGCCACCGGCCGAGGAGTCGCCGCGCCGGCCGTCGAAATATCAGATGATTTTCACGTTTTGATGGAGTTGTTGACCCTTGTAAGGGTACCTGCGTGCCGCCACGATTACACACTTTCAGCGCGTTAGTGTGAACGCGCGCGTCTACCTGTCCGGTCAAGGTAGGCGATCCATCATCGTGTCAACGGAGCGTTACACTGGACGAGGAATTTCGAACATTCTCCCGTATCTGCCCCGGTCGGAACATTTTTTCGGGCCGACGCAGATAAAAGACCCTTCCCCGCTTCCTCCAGCGGGCGACAGACGTGAAACGAAAAAAGGAGGAGCCAAGGGGGGGAAAAAGGGGAACCGAGTGGAAAAGAGGCAAGACAAAAGGAGGCTGTAATTGTATCGGCGATAAGGCGAATAAAGAGGCAAAGAGGAAACGAAAAGCACCGTGAAAACGAGCTGGGGAATCGGCCGGAGCGAACCACCGATTAAATGGCACGTACAGAGAAGAAGTATCCTTTCCATTTTCGGTTTCCGCTCAACCCAAACGGATAATCGCTTGTTTGCTGCCTTCTGGAGGTCGCCTCCTGAGGATCCTCAGACTGTTCTTCTGTCGGTGCACGACGAGTATCCGACGAATTAACGTAAATCCTTTTTAAATAATAAGTCCCTCGTTAAGTGTAATGAATCCTTTGGGAATAAGGAGCCGCGGTCCCATTGTACGGCCGGAGTTGTTGGCCCAGTGGAAACGGTGCCAGTGGGACAAGCGGAGATCCCGGGACCCGAGAAATGGGCCAGAACTCCGCCGGCAATCGGCTCGCTCGTGCTTAGCCTCCTTATTAGCTGGGCTTGGATATTTGGATACCCTTAATCCCTTTTCTACGATTCCAAGTCCAATCTACCTGATCGAACGGTGACAAATAATATTAAGTTGGCTGCGACGCCAGCGTGCGCTCTACCGCCGGACCTGCTATCTGATTTTCAAGCACCCGCCGCGAAAGATGATCCTACGCTGACAAAAGGCGTCGAGGATCGACCTAACCATCGGCCGCAGTTTCCTACGAAATATCGCCGTGCCGGAGAAGCAAAGCTGGGATGGTATGCCTACTTTTCTCGTGCGGATCTCTTCGGGGGTGGAAGAACGGTCTGGCCTGCCCCTAACTGGCCTTGTAACAGTGCGACAAAAAGATGCTTCTAAGGTCCGCACAAAGGACCCGCACAATTTGCCGGGATATTTGTGCCGAAGGAGAGTCCTTTGTGGCTCGTGCAAAATTATATTGAGACGCTACCGGTTCGTTCGAATTATTTGCTGGACGTGTTTGCGTCGCTGCGTTTGACAGTGTTTGGTGCTCGGCTGTGGGCCGAGGGGGATGAAGTTGAACTTTGGGCTCCGCGAACTTGGAGCGCCGTTCTTCATTTTCGTGTTACATACGAATGTCGTTGGAAAGTGATTCATAGGAATAGTTTGTTGTTTAACGATCGTTATAAATATTTTCTACTCGCAGAGTAGAAGTTAGAACACAGTGATTCGTGTTACTAAATTATTTAGTAAGAAACTTCCTTTCTAATCTCCTTCACCTACTGATCACAGATGTCGAGCGTAGTATATAATCATTTGTATCCTACATCTTCACAAACGTAGTCGTTCGTACACATTTATCTCCCATCGATCATTACCTGTCTAGCCTCGCCTGTTTACCCAGGAATTCCTGCACCAGCTCGCATCACAACAAACGCGAGAGTATAAATTCAATCATAACCATACCCACTACAACAAACTACTATAAATAATTCTTGATCGATACCACAGAAGAACACATGTTCCACAAATAACCTTCTCAACAGCATCGTTCCCTTGATCACAAAACACCTTCAACCTCAAAACTTAAAATCCCAAGCAACCAACAGAAAACCAAGAAGCTCGCTCAAAATTTCCTCAAAAAGGAAGCCCCCGCTGATTATTTCCCATCCGCAATGAAACGTCCACGCATCGTTGCGCCAGGCAGACGAAGAAAGGGACCAAAAGAAAGAATGGGAGCGAAGGAGAGAACGAAGACAGAGCGAGCAAAAAAGGAAAGCAAACTCGAATCGGCGAAGGAGGGGGTACAGAGGAAAAATCCATGGCCGGCACGTCGAGTCAAGTTCGATGATCGAGAAGAGAGATCCACGGGATACAGGCGAGGCGGATCGAAGGGAAAAACGAGAGGACCAGCTGAACGGGCGAGTTTCTAAGGCGGTGGCGGCCTTTAAAAGATGCCGGACGCTTTGATGTTCGCCACACGTCATCTCGCGCGTTACCACGCCGCGGGCTCTTCAACCACCGAAACCGACGAAATAGCGACGCACCCTCTATCGTTGAGCGCGTGTGCGTGGTCCCTTCGGCTGGGATCGCTGTAGGGTGGGAATCGGCGACCCCCTTCCCGTCGCCGCGTAACTTTCGACCGTCCGCCCCGGAACAGGGTTAGGTTCCCCTCGATCAAGGGGAATCCCCCAGCTTCCACCCCCGCAGCTCTTTTTATCGGCACGCCAGCGACGAGGTCTTAGACCTCCCGCCACCGATACAGTTTGCAAACAGCACAAAAATGCCACTCGATTATTCCCCGCCGCCTGGCGCCCGATCCGCTAAGCGGGGCAGCCAGCGGCGCGGCTTCGAGAGCGAGAAACAACGGGCGGCGGGGGTGTGAAACCGCCGCGGGCCTGGTACGCGTTGCTGCTCGACGCAGGATCGCGAGAGAAGAAACACGAGGATTCGAACAATTAGGGGGGATCTTCAGTGAACTTGAATTGCGCTTGTTCTCGGCGCGCTGGGACGGATGATGGGACGCGTTTCACTCTTCTTTTCGCTGATTGGGAGAGACTGCTTTGGTGTTTCGTCAGTGGAACCGAGAGTGTTCGTTCATTGATTTATGCTGTTGATGGGTGGCTCGTGGAAAGCGCTTCGCGAGTTAACGCTTGAGGGCGATTTGGAAGAAACGAACTCGACTTGTATGATAATAGCGTAAGAGTGTAAGTAATTCCAATTGATCCCTTGTACTTGAAAGTTTTTCACTGGAAATGTGCAGTGTTTCTCGATGAGGTACGAACGACGCTCTTTGAAAGTAACAAACGAGAGAATGTACGTTGATATTTCACATATCGATGCATTATACGAAGCAGAATATTATATATAAGACTGTCATTTCCTTATATCAAATCTAGTGACTGAGTGTCACCTCTCGAGCGCAAAGGAAGTTTGATGGTTTAAAAAATAAGCCATCAAAAAATCAGGAATTAACTGTCAAGAAACAAGTGAGAGTTTTGAACCAACTTAACCCCAAAGTTGGGAAATCTTGTGGGTTTAGAAACTTAAGAGACTAAGAATAATTGAATTTTGAAAGAGTAAGAAGTATACGTATCGCTGAGGGTATTAATAGAACTGCTTTTTGCCTCTCGAATTTTTGTTATTACGATTCGAAGTGTTCCGTTACGTCTACCCCACTTTCGCCGAGAATTCAGATTGAACAGAAAGAGTGCAGGTTAATTAAAAATGGTAAGTTCGGGAAGACAGAGAAATGTGAAACGTCTAAGCTATCTTATCCTCTATATGGATCACACCTGTCATGATTTTATCTCGTTCATCGGATTCCGTCTATCTTTTTTAAAAAAGTGAAACGCTAGAACATGATGAATTAATTCCGCTAAAAATGATCGACCATTTTTGCCATTTTACGTTCGATACGCCACGAAAGCGCATTAATCTCCGGATCCTCGAGTTCAAAGCGTCCCGACGTCTCGCGCCGTGATAACTGTACCAGTGGTCGGATCACCGGAGCAGCCGAACGTGATTTCCGTGTGATGCAAGTTCCGCTAAGCGATATCGCGATGGCCGATCGATCGCGAGGAGGACATCAATACTCATTAATGTTCGTCTCATCGGCGTTCGGATCGTCCTGGACAAAGATTTCACTGACTCGACCGGTAACCATAACGGATGACCAGCCAGTGAACGTGCAGGTCTTGAGAGGATGACGATGTCAGGACCACTGGTCGCACAAATCATGGCGTAGGCGAAACGCATAATGGACTGCCACAGGATTCGACTCGGAACTTGGAATTTCTCAAATAACCGGTTATTTATTGTATAACAATTTCATTAAGTTATATTATCTATAATAATATACAATTCTCCATTGTCTGCTGAATACAATTGAGTTAGCTGATTTAGCATAACGACATCGTGAGAGTATAATTCTAAAGAGTACATGAACCTGTTGAAAGTTTTCTTTGTTACCACATTTGAATTAGTTTTCCAAAAATGAAATAGTAACGAGTAATACATAAACAATGCAAGTTTGACATTTGAAGATTTTACATATTCGGAACATTTGAACATTCTTAGCACCGATACCAATACTTTAGAAACCACTACAAAGCAGCTAAAAGTATCAATACTCCATCTCCATTCCCAATACACCATTAAAAACAATAAAAAGGAGATCAACACAAAATCCCAATCCCTCCAACCTCACAAACTTCAAAATGGTGTGCACATCAAACATTCCTCGACCAAAGAACCTACCCCATTCCGATGCGACAACTATCAAAAATCGGCTCTGAAAAAAGAGAAAACGCAGAAACGTGGGACAACTATCAAAAATCGAAGCTCCTCGAGGAAGGAAAACGTGGAAACGTTACCGTGGACAGCAAGAGAGCACAAGAAGTAAGAACCCAGGCGTGTGCTCTCGAGGACTTCTCGCCGCTCCGAAAAATGAAGTGCTCATCGATACTCTGCTGACAAATGCGCGGCATTGTGCCGAGACAGCGTGGCCCCACCTTTACAATTATCGCCGGTCGTTTGTTGGCGGAAAATGGAATGCCAGCCGGGACACTTTTCACCCGGCGAGATCGTTCCGAGCGGGTAACCGGTGAATGGCCGGTCCACAGACGATTCCGGTCCCCGGAGGATTCGCTGGCTACCTACGATTCGTCACCGGCGGGAGGAACTTTTTACTCAATGACGGGGAACGGCCGATTGAATATGTGCATCCTTCGGGTATCCATGAACGGGTGTACACCTGTAGCGTGCACGGACCTGGACAGAAGAGTAATTCCGGCCGTAATAATAAGCCCCGACCCGGAACGAACAAGGACGACGGCCCATTGACTCCGTTTTTCGTCCGGGCTGAATAGAACGAGACGAATTGTGCAGCCGCGATGAATCGCTCGCCGAGAGGCTGGCCCGATATGAATGAACGCGAAGACGCCGGTGCGTTGCCGCCGCCCAGGGAAATAATGTTGTCCGACGATCTTACGGCTGTCCATAAATTACGACTCGGTCTCTCGACGGTACACTACTTACTTTGTCGAGCATCCCCATCGCGTGTTTACTCGCCGGCCAGCTGGAGACTACTCGAACGCCGACCGAGTCGTCTCCCCGGAACAAGCGGGGAAAATATTTGCGTCTCGATCGTTGTACGCTGATCGATCCTGATATTGAATCCTCGGACGATATTGTGGCGCTCTGTGTGCACTTCTGCTCACCTGGGCTTTTAGAATGATTCCTTTCGGTGTCGCTTTTTTCCAGGGGTGTACGTTGTCGGGGCGGATGCTGTGTTCGGTCGTGATTTTGGTTATCTTTGCCATTATTCTTATTTTAACACTAGAACCACCGAACGGGTCAAAATGACCCATTCCTGATATCTTCTATCTTTCTCGATAGATGCACTGTTGGAGTTTCTATAGAGAAATTTCAAAAATTTCAGTGCTCAGTAGTTCTAGTGTTAAATCGATTAAGACGAATCGTGTGTATGGTAATTTGTTTAGTAAGTTGGTTATATGGGCAGTGTTTTGAGACTGAATAGTGGATCAGTGTGACAGAGAAGTGGTTCTTGGAAGGTACAGGGTAATTGTGATTTGTATATTTACAATTTGAACGTACGATTGTAACATAAACAGTTTAACGTATTAACGACTGAATATTAAATTATTCAAGAAAATCATGAAGCAGTTGTTTCATTTTGTACAGTTCGATAAACAAATGTGTAACGTGTTCTTTATATAATATTTAATATATTAAAGTAATAATTTAACCAGGTAACTGTATTTAGCGAGTATACACGTCATCTTTATTTTTCGAGACAAACATGTAATTCTTCTTGGTTTCGCTTTAGTTTTTCGTTAGGATATATTTTAAGTGCATTTGGTCTACATTTAACGAATATACACTTCATTGTTTGATTTTATTGCGAGCACAATGAGAGATTTTTCAAACTAAATTTCACACTTAACTGGTTAACGGTTGAACTTGATGGTGCACATATTACTGCAGTTGATCGTTAACGACTCATTTAATCGTAATCTGTTATATTCTTCACTCCATCGTTTCCTGTATACCTCGTACATGTTGCGGAGGACGTAACTCACCGTGACGATGAAAGTCACAGCGTTTAACTCCCCGCGACGAAAACATCGTCGCACACCCCAATATCGATAACTACCCAATTGTACAGCCTCCGGAGGTTCGTTTCTGATGTAATCAGGGAATACGCTGGGGGTGCTACTAATTGTAATCGTGTAACGGGCCCGTGGGCCGAGGGGCGACGAGCATCGCAAAGAATTGATTCTGGTTACGTTAATATAATCAGAAATTCAGGGCCGGCCGTCCCCGTCCTTATAAAATATGTACCGCAGGAGACGTCTGTTCCGTGAGCTTATTTATTTACCGTCCGTCGTACGATACCGGAAAACCAATGATCTATTATGAACATATTCCACTGAATATTTTTTCGGTAACCCGTTTGATGTTCATCGAACAAGATCTTCTGCTAAAAACATCCTCGAATCTCGTCTCACGGAATTATTTGTCAAAAATCCGAAGTAGCGTTTCCTTCTAGAAGAAATAATAAAAATGGTAATAATGCTAATTCTACTTCCATTTTTAAATGAATAATTTCATTATCCGAGTAACGATACATAGCTTTCTTCTTCTCAAATAATTAAGATTCCGATGCGCAATTTGTTTCGTGAAAAGGGTTTCCAGAAATCTGAAAAATTCTCTGCAGGTTAACAATCGACACATCGTATAAACGATCGAATACATCGTATAAAAAATAACTTCTAGTTTCATTTTGTAAATGAATAAGTTCATTATTCAAATAACGATACACAGCTATCTTCTTCTCAAGCATTTCAGATTCCGATGCGCAATTTGCTTCATGGAAAGGGTTTCCAGAAATTTGAAAAATTCTCCGCGGGTTAACAATTTTTCGACGCGACCCTGAGAAGCTCGTGTGATTCTGCGAGACCGTCGAAAAAGATATGTTTCTCGATCCAGGCCAGCTCGCCAAAGGCTGGAAATAAATATCATTACGTAGCTCCGCGGCGATTCGATTAAAAAGCTATTTACGCGTGTCTCACCGAGGTTCGCTATAAACCTCGAATATAAACTGGCCGATAGTAAACTGGCGTAACGTAATTCGGGCCGGGGTTGAAAAGCGGCGGGGTGTGCGGACAAAAGGAGAAGGGCTGCGGCGGTGGCGGTCCGAAACATGACGCAGCGTGACTCGTTTACACGCCACGGTGGCACAATGCGTTCGTCAGTGGCGTAACGTTTCAACGTAGCAACTAACGTTCGTATCGGTATACACGTATCTGCTACACGTACGTGTGTACTCTTCTTGGTTCGCACTCGGCCAAATCCCGGTTGGTAACCGCTCGCGATTATACTTTTATACTACGCGCATAAACGAATACTAACTAGCGATGGGACCAAGTGTAATGTATCATCAGATCGATTTAACATCACATCTGCATCAACTTCGTAGGTTTCGATTTATTATAAGAATGAATTGTTTAAGTATTTAGAGAGTATTTAGTATCATTCAAGTGTCCTTGATTCTAATAAGAAATAAGAGGACTACGAAGAATAAGAAAATTAATTGTTGCAGTTAACATGGAAGTCACCTTTCTCATTTCTGTAATTTTAAATTGCTGTATGAATAATTATATAATTGCGTATACAAAAGTTTTTATCATTTGCACGTTTTCCATTCACCTCTGCATAGGTAGCACAATTGAGAGTTTAGGGTTGATTCATAAAAAGATGGACCTTCATGGCGAATGGCCTATTGGCTGAGATTTCATATACTCTTAAGTGAACCTATCTTCACGCTTGTAAAACGAATAAGAAAATTAATGTAACGCGTTGATATGTAGAGTTTAAACATTTGCACTCGGAAGCTTTTCACTGGAAACATTCGACACTTTTCAATGAGACATAGGCGACATTATTTCAAACGAACTAATGAGAAAATACGTAAGTTCAGGAAGAAAGTTATTTTATATGAATATCTTATTGATACGTTATACGAAACTTAATATTATATATAACATTTTGTAATTTTGCTGTATCAAATCAAATTGTGAGAGTCACCTCTCGAATGCAAAGATTAATAATATCTTGTCAATAACTGCAGGGTCTAACAATGCTTATTCTTATCTTATACATTCTATAATAAATCTATAAAAATCAAAACCGTGAAAAACGAATTTTAAAACAAAAATAAGCTAAGTATCAAGTGTAAAAATCAAAACTGAAAATTGAACTTCGCTTATTTTTATTTTAAAGTTCATTTTTCACAGTTCTGATTTTCATGGATTTCTTTTCTTTTTAGTGGCGTGTACTCTGAAAGGCTTCGAGCGTTTGCTGTCAAGTTTGAATATTGTTTGCGATGTACTTGGTCCCATCGCTAGCATTAACGTGGCTGGCCTCCGTGCTCCTATGAAACTGATTGATTACGTTGGCTCTCTGCAGTCCGTCGCTGGCCCGATACCGCGGACCTCCGTCTCGTTTTGTACGCCGCCGGTGAAAGGGAAGCCGCTGCCTTTTCAACCGCGCGATGTTGCTCACTTTTACTTCGCTCCTCCTATTCGTAGACCCACCGCTCGCTGTTGTCTTTGATGTTACTGCGGGATCGCCGACTCTTTTGCCACTGTGCGCTCCCGATCACTCGTCGAATGGTTCTCGCGTTCCTCGCGGAGCAATGTCTACCGTGCGGATAATGGAACGAGTCTAGTGCAGACGCTCTTCACGACTAAATGCAAGTAATGTTCTCTTTTCCTCTTTTCAATGGGAGAGTGATCTTGGTTTATGCTTTCAATTTGAACTCGAAGAAATGAGAACAAACTTTGAAACTGATAATGTTCATAAGAATTGACTCCGTTGTACAACACTCAGAACATTATTCTTCGTCAAACATTAATCAATATAATTATTCAAATTTCCTATCGTTTTCGAACATTACGACTAAAATAGTATCAAAGTCCTTTCCCCCTACAACGTTTCAAAACCGCGTGCTCAGTAATTACAACAAAGTTATAAAAAGAAAACTAGTTTTCCTCAGAAGGTAATAAATATTCCTCAATGTTCTTGTGTAAAGATAAAACAAAGTAAAAAGTCGAATTCCCTTTACCTGAAATCTAAAACGGTTAATAACGAAGATAAGCCGGAATCCATAATTCATTGAATATTTAAAGGAAAGTATATGTTCTCCGTTTACGTAACGAAAAGACCGTGCTAATTATATTCGCGCGACGATAAACACACGGCGCGTTCTCTTCGGGCCTGCGTCAGGTGCTCAAGACGTCCAACCACTCGAGCACGAAAAGCGAATCGAATCCGAGGGTCGAGGAGCTGAAAACTCCCGAAATATTCGCACATGCCTAC